AGGAAGGGGGGGGGTGGGGGGAAGAACAAATCCAACCACAAAAACAACTCCAAACATAACACTCTGTTCTCATTGGGCTGCCTCCTTACCTATGGCATCTTTTCAAGGCCCATCACCAAGGACCTCATCATGTTTAATAATCTCCAAACCCATTAAGAAACTTCATAAATCAAACTGAAAAATAACTTAAGAAATAAAATTGAACATAGGGAAAATCTCTGCAAAGGTGACACACTAGTCTGCAATTTGAAAAATATCCTTCTCCAGCCCTGTGCTAACTCCAGCAGCTTGCGTAAAATACTAGACCAAGTATTCCACATAAAGCCACTGTTAGTTCAACATCAGAACACTCCAAGAGGGCACTGAGCTCATCTCTGATGGAGCAAGCTGTGGCCATTTCACACTGAAACAGTATTTGGTCTGGTGGCCTCCACAACAAAGTATTTTTTAAGATCTTCCCCTGCTCTTCATAATCTGTTTAACTGCCTAGAGGCTGATTTAGTTTGGTTTGTAAGAACAAATCACAGTGGTCCTGGCAACAAGATGCATACATGTTAAAGTGGGAACATATTAACCTCATTCATGCTTGTGAAAGGAGCACAGGGTAAAGGAGTTGCCTCCTTCTTTAGCTGCTCACTGTAGACAGTGATTCCTGCACCTCAACACACAGACCCAGAAACCAGAGTAATCTCACTGCAAATTAAAGTTAAAACAAAAAAACCCACCGCCATACTCAAAAAAACCGCACAGCAAGAAGTAAACAAATAAACAAAAAAAAAAAATCAAACAAGAAACCCACAAGACGAAAAGCACTAAAAAACCCCACAAACAATGCAGGATTAGAATGGACAGCAGAAGCACAAGTGGAGATCCCAGACAGGAACACAGACAACACTGAGAACTTTTACTACCCACAGAAAGACATCATGTAGAGAAATTATGGGTGAGAAGCAGACTAGTAACTAATTGAAAGAGGTGAAAAGTTGATTTCGTCTGATGTCAATTTTCTCCTCAGGTCATACTGCCTGTTACAAGAAGGCAGGCCTGCCAAATGGAGTAAGAGTGAATCAAAAGGTGCTGCTAAGAGATTTTTTCCCCTGAAACAACTGAAAGGGGTTAGAGAAAGAAAAGGAGACAATTGCAACTTGACCCACAGGATGTAAGCGTGCACCCAAGTCATACACCAAAAGCAAAGACCAGAGCTCTGCACACTCAGCTAGCAACAGGACTGTCTTCACCAGTCCCTGGATGGATTTTCAAGATATGACCAACATATAAGTTTAGTTTCTAGCATGATCAAACCTTCCCTGTTTCAAGCGAAGGAGCTGAATTGTTTTGAGGCTAACTGATGGTCAGTTATAAGTGACATTCCTTGTGTCTTGGTACCAAGTGTAGTATTGTTCAATATCACCAACATAGACAATGGCACAGAAGGCACCCTCAGAAAGCTTGCAGGTGACATCAACTGGGGAGAGAAGGGCATATGCTGGAAAGCAGGGCTGCCACTCATAGGGACTTGAACTATATGGGGGAATGTGCTTGGTAGAAAAGGCATGATGTTCAAGGCAATGTAAGGCCCTTGCACCTCTTAAAATCACTCCATGAAGCAGTACAGGCTGAGCTCTGCCTGGCTAGAAAACAGCGCTGCAAAAAAAGACCCAAAAGTCCTGCTGGATAATGAATTGAACATTAGGCAGAAATGTGCCCTTGCAGCAGAAGCCTCCAGATACTGGCCTGTGTTCGCAAAAGTGTAGTTGGCCCGTTGACAGAAATAGTTATTCCCCTCTATTCAGTATTTGTGACACCACATGCGGAGTACTGTGTCTAGTTTTAGGCTCCCAGTTCACGAAAAATACACTGACGTTCTCAAGCTAGTCCACCAAATGTTCACCAAGATGTTTAGGTGGCAGAAGATGTGGAAGGAGGTGCTGAGAGAATTGGATTTGTTCAGTCTCAAAAAAAAACAACAAAAAGAAAAAAGGCTAAATGGATTATTAACTGCAGTCTACAGCTAACTCATGCAGAAAACAAAAGAAACTCCTCTCGAAGTACTGAACAAAAAGACTGAAGGCAGTGGCTCCAAGCTGCAAAAGGGAAATCCCTTACAGAAGTAAGGAAAATATCCTTCCCCAAAAAGGGTGATTCAGTGCTGGAACACATGCTGAAAGAGGCTGGGAATTTCCATTCTTGGAATTATTCAAAATTTGAGTCGGCAAGGCCCTGAGCAATCTGATCTAGCTTTGAAGTTGGTTCTGCTTTGAGTAGCAAGTTGGATGAAACCTCCAGAGACTCCTTCCTACCTAGTTTATTTTATGATTCAATGCCAACACATAAACTAAATGGAGAATGATCGGGAAACATAAAGTCCACATGCAATATACATCTATGTATGCTCTGACCAGAGTCTACCTCCAGAATATCATCAATTGGTCCTTCCCAGATAGGAGATTAATCTCATACTCTTCATCCTGCAGCCACCCTCAGCTGGTGACCCCACCTGGAAGCCAACAGGAATTTTCCATGTAGAGCCCCCTTAGGATGAGGCAATGTATTTCTGGTTGGGACTCTCTCAAACACAAAGAGAGGACATTGTGTGCAGTTCTGTTTCAAGCCAGGATATAATCTGACATATTAACTTTAAAAGATGGCAGCAAAGGCTGCACAGCAATAGCCTACAATTACCGTTTCTGAATAGGCTACCAGATTTACAAAAATGATACTCAAATTCAGTGTAGGGATGAAGGAAGAAACAACTATAGAACTCCATGATGATTGCAATACAGGCTGACAGGAGGTACAGAGGTCCCTACGTATCAGTTGAGCACACTTAGCTGTCGGAGTTAGCAAGAGGTATTCCGAAGACCCTGGTAACAGTCTGATTGGATCTGTTTTGGGTTACAATATGTAACCAAAAATGTGTAATTCTATTTTCATCTGTTGAAACCGGTTGGAAGATATTTTTTCATTTATTGTTAACTCCAGGGGCAGGTGCTTTTGTTAGTGGGTAATCATGGGTTAACGATGGGGAAAAGGTGGGAGCCGCCCCCCTAGCCCGCCAGAACTTCGGGGGGGAGAAAAAAAAAGTAGCCCCGCTGACGAGAGAGCCAGACCAGCCGAGGAGGACCTCGTGGAGCTGCCGCCATTCTTCGCCTTTGTAGGAGGAGTGGACCCAGCCCCATCACCACCGGACCCCTCTACCGAATCAACTCCAACGGAGCAGCATCTGCCACTCCAGGAGAACTCTAATCTGGATCTATTTGGACTTTTTTTTTTTGGTTCCCAAGTCAGGTATTCTGACTCTGTTGGGTTCTGGGATTATTTGTTTCTTGTTGTTCTTTCCTCTGTATCATTACCCTTGTAGTTTGCAATTTCTCAGTAAAGAACTGGTATTCCTATCACCATATCTTTGTCTGGAAGCCCCATACTTTCAAAAGTATAGCAATTTGGAGGTGTGTGGGTGGGGTTTGACATTTCCCATTTCAAGGGAGGCTTTCCCCTGTCTTCTAAACCAAGACAGATCTTAGGAAGAAATTCTTCAGTACGAGGGCAGCAAGACTTTGGAATAAATTGCCCAGAGATGTTGTGGCTGCCCCCCCCCTGGACGTGTTCAAGGCCACATTTGACGGAGCCTTGAGTAGCCTGATCTAGTTGAGAGGCGTCCCTGCCCATGACAGGAAGGTTGGATTAGATGATCTCTAAGGTCCCTTCCAGCCTAGGCCATTCTATGATTCTATGAATAAATCTGTTCTTGAGGTCGGCCTCATGCCACTTAAAAAAAGACAGTGAAAGCATAGCCAGGTAGGAAAGGGAGGGGCTGTAGATACTTGCCAAGTAAGCAGAAACACACAGTAAATGAAACAGTCTGAGGAAGAAACATGCAAATACAAACTACAGTGTTTCTCAGTACTCAGAGACCAATTGTTCCAGTGCAAGAGAGTTCAATGTATTATTTCCTTCAAATCTATTAGCCTTTGCTTAAGTGGTACTTGTTTCTTCTACTATATTTACAATAAATCCCATAGTTAAAAACTTTTGTACATTCTACAGAACCTTAGATCAGCATAATCTTGAAGGATTAATTAAGCTCAATTAGGAAATGCTATACATACCTTTTCTGTATAGGAACAGTAGTATTCCTACAATGAGAATGAGGAGAACAAAAGCTGCAATAAGACCACCTTTTTCTTTTTTGACGGCTGTCTCCATTCAAAAAATAAAACAAATAACAATGGTTAATTAAAAAGCAACTGCATGACACTAATCTGATTTTGACTGACAATGAATTAATGTTCCCCCAAATAAAGTCTCGTTTACCCATGATGGTAATTGCTGAGTGACCTCCCTGCCCTTACCTCAACCCGTAAGGCTTTTGTCATATTTTCTCCCACCTGTCTGGTTGAGGAGAAGGAGTGACAGAGTGGCTCATATACTCACTTATTCATGCACATGCTAGATGACAGATTATTTTTTATTTCACCTAATGGCTGCTAGATGACATACTTGAAATGACTGAATAATTTCCTTCCAGTTCATGGAAAGCAGTACAAAGAGCATTAGTCATCAGCATTAATTATACAAGGCCAGAAGGCTCACAAAAGATCTAAGTGCATCTCCTTCTTTATTATTACTCATTTCAAGTCATAGCTGAAGGTTTTATTCTGCTGAGATCCCTGCAAAAAGTATCTTTCCAAGGAGGATCAAACTATCAAACTCATACCTTTCACCAACTTTAAATATACTTTTAGCAGCCAAATGACTTCTGATGCTTTTTACTCTTTAAATTCAACTTCCTGAGAACTCAATAGAAATCTTACCAAGCCCATGCTGCTTCCCAACCTAGCCTCTCAGACTTGCATATACAACCTGACCCTTTCATTACCTTTCTTAGCTGGAAAGCATTGAGCCAAAGAGATTACAGAGCTCTTTTCCGTTTGAGAGAATTTAATGAAACATGCAGCTTTCTCAGAAGCATCAACATTCTTAGGGACCGAAACTTCCTGGGTCTGACGAGCGATTAATCCGCTACTGAAATTCCATGTGTAAGTCAAAGGCTTCTGAAAATATGCTATACATCTTAACACAAGGTTATCCCCACTGACGTTGCAACTTATTTCAGGTTCTGAAGGGGGAGCTGAAAGGAGAAAAAAAATATTCTTTATTACTTTGCCTTGAATTTTAGCCCAGGACAAGGGCTGGAGCAACAAAAGCAGCAGGAGAGCACGTAAAGGTGTATGTGTAAGGTGTGCACGTGCAAAAGAAATGCATTTCTGTAAGTCGTCCTGTCTGTGGTTCTTCAGTGCCTAGTTTGTGAGCCCTCATGGTTCATTGACAATAGAACTAATACACACACTGGTCTAATATTTCCCTCAATATTTCCCTCAGACTACTAGTGAAGCTGCACAGATCTGCACAGGATGATGCCACAGATACTCATGTATAATCTGCCTGCAGGAGCAGCTTTAGATATATACATACTGCCAGGGATAACTTGGTCAGCTTGCTCAAAGACTTTGGTTATCTAGCTGAAATCACACAATGTGCCATCTACACACATTCTAGAAGTCATTCCAAGGTGAGTAATGATGGGCACACAAATGAGATGCCGCCTTCAAAAATTCCTTTAAAGTGCGTAAGCAATTTAACAACAGAGCCAAAGAACAAACCACCTCTGTTTCTGTTTGCTTCCCTGACAAATAAACAATCCACTTCCTAGCCTACTTAAAGTGAATACAGTAGTGCAAATTCTTTAGGCACTTCTTCCACTACTTACCTAACACAGTAAGCGTGAACTCATAACTTTCTCGTGTAGAATCCATGTCTATATGTAATGTGTATGTGCCAGTATCATTGTTTTCCAAGTTAAATATAGTCAAGCACCCATTGTCCTTGTTGAGCAAGCCTCTGTCCTGGAGGGGATCAAAATATGTTGTGCTGGTTTGCCCTTCCCATTCTGCCACTTTATGCTTGTTTTTCGTCCAAGTAATTTCTCCTATTTTTTGGTCTGTTTTTACTGGAAAAGTAAAATTTTCTCCCAAGATGCCAAACACCTCCTCACAGTGGCTGCATCCTACTGGAGAGAACAAGAAAAAAAAGTTACTTTAACGACTGTTTGTATAAACTATTGCTTGACTAATGCTGTATGCACTATCAGTATGCACATTCAAATTTAGGTTAGAAGCACACCACAACATCATGAACTAAGGCACATGTCAAATAGGAATTACCCAACCCCAGTCTCTCCACACAATCATGTTACAGGCAGTGCAAAGGAATCCAGTTTCCACATTCTGGTCTCGAGTAGAATCACTGTCCTGATCTTCTTCCCTATACTAAGCTTCTCTAACCTCAGTACTTTCCCTCTACCTACTTCAACCAGGCACGCTGCCCATGGTCTAGTGAAAAAAGATGACATGAAGAATTGTTATCACAAGCAAAACCTACCTCAGCATCTTGTTGCAGAATGCCCAGACTGAAGCTCCCGCTGAGCAAATAAGCTGCATTTTTTCCAGCACAAATATTCAGAGAGTTAGTAAAAAGCACGCTTCTGACAAAATTCCTACTTGGTTCAAAGCGTCTGCTCTGAAATAATCAAGATACTAGGAATTTCCTTTGGAAATGTCACTCAGACAAGTTTATTTCACAGCCAATGTACGTGAAATAGCATTTCCACCTCCGAGATCTAGGAGAGTTGCTAGAAACCTTAACTGGGAGCTGTCCAGAAACCTGACCTGCTCTCACTTTTGAATCAAATCATTCTACCAAAAAATGCCCTAACATTCAATATAAATAAACAAACAACAACAAAGAAGAGGGATAAAATATTTTCCCTAGTTTTTATTACAAACAGCTATAACTGCAAAAAAAATCTACTGATCTAACAGATGAAATCACATCTGGAGAAGGGATACTGTAAGCCATTAGCACCTTCGCATCCCTATTTCTGCCTTCGGCAATCACCTCCTACTTCCAAATACCTCTGACTGGCTCTAAAAAACAATCACAAGTCTACTGCCATGGCAGACACATATGCAGACACAGACAAACCATGACAACACTGAGTTCAAGTTACACTTGCATTAAGGACTCTGTTCCACTCTATAGTAGCTGGTGACTTACTACTAAGTTAAAAGAAGGGCATGACAAAGACAGGAGGTCTCATACAAAAGGCAAGATTCCAAATATACATCATGGAAAACGTCCATGTAAGTACTAACTGCATGGTGAAAGAGAAATATCTCAGAAGCCTACTCCTCAAGCCAGCTACTATTTTGAGGGTTTAGGGGTTTTGTTGTTTTGGAGTTTTTTTTATTCCTAAATGGCATCATGTCAAGAACCCACCAATCCCTGTACCATTCTGTGCTTCCCTTGCTTCTCATGTATTTACACAGTTTCTTCTTGTTGTCTGCACTTACAAGAGCTCAGCTATCACCTTCACCCCTTTTCAACACAACCAACATGGCCTTCTCCTGTTCAGACAGATTTAAACATCTCACTTGCTCACACAGCTCTAGTACTCCAGTACACAGCTCCATCTACTTCTGCCCACCTCAATTAACAATTTCCAGAAAAGAGAACCATCCAGAAGCTCCAACATTTGGATTTGGAGACGTTATTATACTGGAGGAAGGAGAAAACACATTTTCCCTCTGCAGCTTCTGCTTGCCTTGGGAGAGCACTGCCCTCTTCAGCACACTCTCTTCTTGCCGTCTGGTAAAATAAAGACTTGGCAGCAAGGAGCTGAAGGGTTCCTGCCCAAGGACACACAGGACTCCCAAGGAGCAAGATAGGGAAAAGCTTATTCTTTCAAGATAACAATCATCTCCTCTTGTCTAAAACCAGGGATCGGACACTTTTACTTGTTTCTTCACTATTCTAGTGAAAACATGAAGAAATCTCCCACTCAGTGCTGTCAGCTTCCCTTTTTCAAGGAAGTCATACGTCATACAGAAATGCTGCTCCACCACATATCTTGGAGTTTCTAAAGAATGTATGTGTCATCGTATGTTTTCTAAATTTCTAAGGAACTCTCTCCCCTTCTTTCTTCTTCATTTTATTTGGAGACAAATTTCCCATTCCACAGCAGTTAACTTCTCTTCTGTGAGCAAAGAGTGAGAACTGCCAAACGCTTCTCATACACTCTTTTTGGAAGGCTAAAATAAGAACGATATCTCTGTGCTTTCTCCTGTTCTCCTAACTGTACTGTATTATTCCAAGATAAAGTTCACACAACACAGCAGTGCTGTGCTAAGGCCTCCAGTAGCCTCTAAAGAAACCATCAGACTACCTGCTCCTCTATCTCCCTCAACCTCCCCCAAATTCCTTCTTATGCTATGCCTTTGTGTTCTATCCTTCTGGAAAAAAAAAAAAA